ATTGGCACCAACAACGATTTACTCGCTCTTGTGAATAAGTGAAGGTATCAAGGTCCAAACGCTTCTCGGGCACTGGGAGCAGGGCACATCGTTGTTGGAGAATCCCCAAGAGGGGGAGGGGGTCGTATTTGCTCGTTGTTCGGAGAGCAAGGAGGTTGTATCTGCCTTCTGGCCCTCTGAGATAGGTTGTTGATTTTTTGTGGATTTTCCTGTTGCAAATGTACTAGTATATACAGGGTACATCGTTGTTGGAGAGTCCTCCAAGAGGGGGTCGTATTTGGCCGCCAGGAGAGGGGGTCGTATTTGGGCTGGGAAAAATTTATTTTGATAGTTGATTTTTCTCGCTTCACGGACGTTGTAAAGGGGGGGGTCGTACTTGGTCATTGTTGGGAGGGGGGGGGGTCGTATTTACGTTTTGGCGTTGTAGGAGTGGTTGACTTTTGTGATTTTCCTGATTTTCCTGTTTCATGCGTACTATATACCCCCCCACTCCTCCCCGCTCGACGGCTCGATTCGATGAGGAGGGACAGAGGGCCGGAGAGGGGGGGGGGGTGTACCAAAAAAAAGGGGGGTTCGTACAGACTCGACTAAAATCCCCAACCAATGATGTGCCCTGTTTCTAAGTTGGTCAGTGACTTCAATTTGAAGCGAACAAAAGCAGTTCCACACTTGTGAACATCTCTCAGCGGACATGGAGAAGTGACAGAAGAATCGATCTTATCAAACTAATTTACCTGTTGAACCTCGGCACTGGTACTGCGAAACAGTTCAATGTAGCGATTTCCTATCGTCTGACGATGTTTCGCCAATGCACGTTGCCCTTGTTCCTCATCAGAAAATTGCACGAATGCGTCGCCTGAAGCAGCTGATTGTACGCGACGTAATAGTCATCAAAGACTCGCGTACGTGCTTCGTTGCCCTAAAAGGCACTACCCGTTTGCAAGCCATCGCCTCGCTTTGGCGTCAGCATGGCTGATGGCGGCGTTATGATAAAAAGCAATCTGGGCAAATTCTGTTGACGAAGATTGAAACAGCGCCACACTCACCTGTAGGCCGCCCATCGCTTCTCGTCACAAAAAGCACGCTCTCCATCATCTCGCAGCTGTCTGGCTCACGTGCAAAGAAGTCACGCTAAAATGGCTTTATTAAGGAACTCTGTTTACTCCTCAATCCAAAACTGTTTATTTTGACCAGATGACCACATGTGATTGTTATGACAACATCATTACTTGCCGTATTCATCTCACGCCATTACGAATAGCCTTTAAAGAGATAAATTATTTGTGAATATCATCGTCACTATAACTGTGTCAAGGAATACCTACAACCCGAAAAACAGGCTTTCAGTCCAAATATTACCTGTAAAGTGGGTAAAATATGGAAGAAATGAGTGCCTGGGGATTTTGGATTATTTGGAAGTTTTACGTTTAAAACGACTTCTTGGAGGTGTAAGAGCTTTACACAAACTCGTAAAGCTAATAACAAAATTGAACACATGCTGAAATTCAGAACATGGGCGCGAGCATGGGCGGAGTTATCTGCTATGCCCTTTGGCGCGTTCATGCTACATATTCACTAGTACCTTCGAATCAGATCCGCAGTGCAACTATGTACACTTGAAATCCGTGCGGTGCGGTAGGCGCGGCTGCGGGATTGAACTGAACGTGACGGCGGATAAGGTTTCCGTGAGGTATTTTCATTTTGTGACAGTTTTGAGCATGTCTTTGTTCAATGACAGTTGCTTCAAATTGAAATACCCCACGAGTTCCAATCCTATGCCATTTTAAAATGTCACGCCTACCCCGTCTGAGGGATAAGGAGTGTAACTTCCGGTAATACCGCAAAGCCCTTCCCACTAGAAAAGCGTGAACGTGTTTGGTCATACTCTACTTCATGCCCTTCCGCCATGATGCTGGCAACAACCGCCCGACCACAGCGATCGTGCCCACTGCTTTTGAAGCTTTTGTAGTCCGTCCTCCCCAGTACTGTAAGAACAATGTTGGTCTTTGTGCACTTTTCTGGGCAGAACGAAGAACGAAAAAGGAAACTTCCAAGTGCAAATCGTTCTTTCTCACCATGGTTCGTGTGGTGCTTTATAACAAAACGTTTCATCAGTGATCACGTCTGGCGCCTGCGGCTGACGATGGAGCAGTGGACAAGCGACGATGGCGCTACGGGGCTTTTAGTATATGCCAAGTGAACCAAGTTCTAATTCCTAGATTGTAGAGTCCTTAGGATAACGTGCCAAGCCCTACATTACCAGCCACAATCACTGCGAATCGATTATCAGTCCTCAGAATCATATGGATTTACATGATATGAAGTTGAGCCCCACAAAGCGTCAGATACATCAAAATTTTGGCACTACTTACCCTTTACCCCCAGTTTTCGAACTTCAGAGAAGCGGTTTGTCTATATATTTGTCCGGGAATTGGCCTCCAGGGGTAGATTGACTCCAGACAAAAATTACATCCGGCCCTAAACCGCCTGGCATAAGGGTAACAGGCGCCGCCGCCATAACATCCTAAATCATGAAATTCGTTGAAAAGTTGTCTCTAGGGGTAGTTTGACCATCTGAACTAGAAAATCACATTTGGTCTGAAACCTGAAGCACGCGCCACAAGCGACAGCACGGCACGCTTGCTTCGACTAGGGTGCCTGTAGCAAGTCGGTCGTTTTGCACCGAGGCGGTGGGCTAGGGTAGTGATCTCAAGGGGGAAGGGGCTTGAGTAACATATATAAATCCTGGTAAAATAATTAGGAGCAGCCGTTAGTCACAATAACGGGTTCTTCCAGAACCATCAAAGGCCATCTGGAAGCCCACGTCACATCAATTTGTCTTATTGACGTAATCGTCGAAAAAAACTTAATATTGACAGGAAGTTAGCTGACGAGTAAGGTGTTAACGGCTTAATCAGTGATGATAAAAGTAGTTATCGACTAAGTTATTATACCGGATTTTGAGAACGGCCCCTAATGAAGTAAATCGATGTTATATACAAAATGGATCGAGGAGGCATTTGGTATGTCTAAAAGTTCCGATCGATACGTGGGTCTTGGAGCAGAACCCATTGTCTTTCCCCATGACAACGTTACGTCAGTTCGTCGTCGTTGAACGAATCATGCCATCTTCACGTTATGGGGCCAATAAATCAACATTTACAGCAGAGCAGAAGCGTCGTCCGAAACTGTGATGAAATGACAGACGAACGACCACGACTTTTGCTAGCAAGGTCATAAAAGCAAGGTCGGGAATTCAGCCCTCAGTATTTTCTAGAATAGCCAGCTCTTATGTTACATTTTGGGCTTCGAATCTCGTGGTGATGTTTCAACAGGGCACGTCCTGCCGCTGGGAATATTTTTCAAAAATACAATTCCCACACCCTTCACTAGTACGACCCCCCCTTCCGCATTTCGCCCGCTATCCTTCCAATTTTTCCAGCTTTCTATCACTTTTTCTGGAATTTCTCGAAGATTGCCCAGCTTTTCCCCTCACAAATTTTCTGTCGAGAGCGGGTGGGAAGGCGAGTATACAGGGAGGGGGCCCAAAAAAAAAAGTCATTTCCGGCCCGATCACATATGAGCGAAAGTTTTTGAGCCAGACAGAGGAAGTGGATATGAGTACCAGGGCGGAAGATACCCAAGATCTTCCTCTATAAGCAGGAGCCGGCTGCCGCCATTCACCTTCATGTACACCAAAATATGAAGTCATCTCCAGTCGCGGCCTGAGTGGAAACGCCTTTGGAATTCACGTGGCCTCCAAACAGCTGCGGAACTTCTTGAATGGAATCACCCATGGATAGCTACCTGGAGACCAGTACTCTTGATCTGCAAGACCCCAAACATCGAGCAGCTCCGGGCAACGTCGCTACGGTCCAGGACATCATCTTCACCCCATTCACCAAGGCGCGGGTTGATGGTGTGGACCGGCCGTACCTGGAATGGAACCGATATTTTCTTTGTAGACCCCGACTGAAGGTGAGCGCTGGCGGTTACATCAAGTAACTCGAGAAGGATATCCTCCCTACATGTGGTCGCCCGTACCTTCTTGGAGACCTTGTGCTGCTACAGGTTTGGGTGCCACCACATGGAATCGAAGGGTTTTGGAAAAACTCCCGCCTACTTCGAATGGAAGGGCGTTTCGTACCTGATGAAGATGTAATATTGAAATATGTCCCCTGACCTATAACCCACTCAATTACTTAGTTCGGGCGGAGCTCAACTGGCGGTGCGTCTACAGTGGCGGAGAAATCAACGATCTCGCTCAACTCCGGTACCCACTCACTTTCGCGCGGCGAATCTCTCGATGGCGCTCCTCCAGAAGGCTGTGGCGGAGTATCATTATAGTATTTAATGTGCTCTTTAATATGGTAGTAAAAATGTCCGGTAAAAATTCAATAAAGTGTAACTTATAGCGCCTTGAAAGATCATAGTAAGCAAAATGACTGTTTATTTTGCCCCCCCCTATATACAACCCAGTAAAGGCAAAAATTGCGAAAAAGCGAGAACCGGAAAAAGCAACGCGACAAATTTCTTCCGGAGGTAGAAAAGGCAGTCAGACCCTCCCCCCCCCCTCCTCTCCCAACGACGCGCAAAACGACCCCTTTGTAGAAATGGAACAGGAAATACCAGCTATTGAAAGAATCCTTCGACCAAGTACAACCTCTCACCTCCATCCAGGAACCGAATACGATTTCCCGCCCCCCTCGCTGGGGATTTCCCAATGGAACCGACGTGCCCTGTGTATCAAGTCCGTCGGCTAATAAAAAAGGGCGGAAAAGGTGACCCTTCGAATGTTTACACAATGCGGAAGATAAAGTTGTGGCGCATACCACTGAGGGAATCAAGTCTGACTATGGTATAAGCGATCCGCCGCTCTTTCATCACGGATGACGTACACTACTCTTCTGATATGAATTTGTCTTTCAAATTATTATTTATTGATTTTTCTCCCATTATTTTCGAAATATTATTTACTTACTATTCAAAACTAAATCACGATTACCTTCCAAATCGATAGTATTGTAATTCTCAGGGGACGATCCGGGATTTTCGGATGGTTTACCGATCATCGTCACATTCAACATTGCCAATCCCTTGAACTTGCACTTTGCGTGACCCATACCGTCCGCATGGTCACGAACCGAATGTAATGCAACATATTCTTTTGTCGCTCTCCCTGGATGACAACCTCGCCCACACCCTCGCAATTAGCGTTTCGATCCATAGATCAAGTTTCAGTGCGGGCAGCTGAGTGTGCCCTCGATTGTCCCGATGACGGCTGAACAAACCCATCAACCGAGCACCGCACGTCCTAAAGGGTAGAGATTTTCAAATTTGATTATTGATCCACTTTTTGCCATAATCATTGAAAAAGCGTGAAGTATAGAGCGTCCGCCGTTGATCAACCCCTCTCTGGGATGCAGCACGCATTTACTTCCATTCAGAATCGTAGTGGCTTATTGAATGCGATGTGGCCTATACAATGACTTGCGGGGCCAGCCGATGTACAAGTCAGTGTTTTATCCTCCCAGACGAATCTGATACGATTTTCCGTTCCCGGAGCTAAAAGGTTTGCTTGGCTCGAGCGATAGCTGATCCAGGACTTGATCCCCGGAGCGCGTGGTGAGCGTGCCACTTGCCACTACACCACCTTCGCCTCTTCGCAATCGTCATGCCCCTGAGAATCAATAGCCAAACGGTAGTAGCTCCCCTTGCGTCCCATGAGCTGCCATTGAATCTGTACTATTCCATCGTGAAGCATAACATGCGGTCAGTAAATATTTGAGACTTTGATGACTAGTCGATGAAGTAAATCGATATCTGGTTCTGGACATCCGGATGTTTTCTTCTATTCATTCTTATCATTTCACCCATAGAATCAAGCCTAAGGTCGTTACGGTTGTTTCAACGACCTGAAAAAAGGCTCCAATTCCTATTTCTTTTTATCAGGTACGATCCCAAGGATTTGATGGAGGTCCACAGCCCCCAAAGAATCAGGGAAACACTTTGAAATATGGCACATCATAAGTTGGGATTTCGGTCGAATCCGCACACCCCCCCCCCTTTCCAAATTTTGGTACGACCCCCCTGGTTATCCTAGCGCTGCGTTTGAAACACTTTGAAACATTGCACATCATTAGTTGGGATTTCGGTCAGGTCCGTACAACACGTCACCTTTTTTTAAAGGTTGGTTCGACCCTACCCTGGTTATTTTCCTAAATTTTCCCCAGTTTTCCTACCACTTTTTCCGCAATTTCCCGAAAATTCTGCTGCCTTGCTGTCGAGCGGGGGCCCCTGGGGATGGGGTGGAGGGGGGGGAGGGGTATGTAGTACACATAAAACAGGAAAACCACCCACGAAAAGTCAGCAAACTTTTTCAGAAGGCCAGAAGGAAAGTACGACTCCCTGAAACGAACATCTACGACCCTTCCCCCCCCCCTCTTTACAGCGTCCCTGAAACAAGAAAAATCAACCATCACAAGAATTTTTCTTAGTCCAGATACACCCCTCTGCCAGCGACCAAACACGACAATCTTCCTGCCGGGGAATCCCCAACAACTATGTTCTCTGCTTCGGAAACCCCGGCAGAATAAAGAAAAAGATTTCTACCCCTTCATAATAGCGTCGCCACCATGCTGTTCATCTTTTTTGGCATTTTCAAAAACGACATTCGATTGCTTGGTGTTTCACGTGACTCATGTATATATGGGCATAAAAGCATCATCGTGCCGGAAACGACGGGCCAATGATAGCGCCGAATTCGGAAACGCTATGAAGAGAAGCGTAAAACCTTCCTCGGGACTTTTCACTTGGAAAACCGTTATCGATGTTGTGAAAGTTTCCCGTAAATGATACAGTAAGCAGCATACGAAACCTTTCGGAAGCTACTCCAAGACGACCTCCAAAGAATTCTTTGCCCTTCACGGGCGAATCTCTACCTTGGCAATTATCTGATGAAGCTGTGCTCGAAATTTTTTCCAACCGAGACCAACAGTGGAGGAAAATCATGGTCGTAGCTCGTTATTCCGTAACTGGATCTCGATCTTCTACCGCGAGGGCAAGGGGGAACTGGTAATGATCACCCTATTCATGAGCTAGACTCAGGATGGTCGACCCCCTGAGGCCCCGATCAGGGTGAGCTCTGCTTTTTTCGAATAGTGCCATTGAAAGTAGAGTGCTCCACCGTTGTGGAAATTTGAACTGCTCCTCTGCCTCAGCCAAGCGGAAAAAAAGAGGGTCGTATTTGACTTCAGCAAAGTTTTTTATTGCTGGTATCCCCGATTCGTGCGCTCTATTCCTG